TATATATATATATATATATATATATATATATATATATATATATATATATATACACACACACATATATATAAATATATATATTAGGGCTGTCAATGGATTACAATTTTTTATCTAATTAAATCACACCCTTTTTCTGTGATTAATCGCACACTTCATGAAATTAAGCATAGACCATTTATCTTGTTTAAAATGTTTATTTTGTCATCATCCAGCAAAGTAAACCAAAAGATCGAAGGGCGATTCTCAAAAATCTGTATTTCCTGCAAGCTTTTTTCAAGATAAATTTAGATGTCTTTCCAAAAAAGGACTCCAAAAGGACACCAAAGAACCAAATGATGTAAGGAGCCCATATAAGCACATAAGAAAAGAAAATCTGAATTGTATAGTAGCCTGTGTGTACTGTGCAACAGCAAAGAGCTTTTTTACATTTTAGAGAAGTCAAGTTGCCATACCGAACAGGACCACATGGAGATCTCAAAAACCCATAAACCAACCGCCTACTGACTGCATATATCTACTACAGTACACACGGATCCATTCAGAATAACTAAACACAGCAACATACACATGACAAATCAAAACATTATCTGCAATGTGTGTGGAAACAATGTCTGTGTCTGTGCATAAATACAATGTGCGATCCGTGCGTCAAGAGCATTAATATAACGGACTCGCGCGTGCTTACTGTACGACTCCTGTACACCACCGCAATCGTCTTTACCTTGACTGCAGTCTTCATCTATCAAAACTTTACTAGTGAGACTGGTTATCCAGTTGAGAAAACGTAGTTTGCGTCTCATATGGCTGTATAGCGGTGGGATGTGTTGACAATCCGTTCAGTCTGTGCTTCACACAAGCGCGATGTGTGAGGGCTCGCGCTCATCAGAGACAATCACAGAATATGACAGAGCTCATGTTTAAAAGCCAAACACACTGGAATGAATAATTCACTGAAAACGCAATGCGAGTCTCTGTTCTCGCTGCAATCTCTGATGTAATCAGCCTGGTTTCCTTTATATTAGCGCTGTTTTGGACTGATTGTTTGAATGCATTCGCTTACTGGATCATTGGACTGAAAACTTTCCCGAATCTGATCGCAACCAGAGAAGCAACATTGGGTTCAAGGGTTAGAATAGAAATTGTGCTTCAGTAATTTTGCATTAATTGCATTAAATTATTTGCATATGTTAAGGACTGTAAAATTAATCGCATGCGTTAACACGTTAACAGCCCTAGTTAAAATCAATCACTCTCTGCATGAACCCTATTCAGGGAGGACATCAGCGGCGTTACCTCCTGTCCGGTGAGGAAGAGCAGCACATCTCCCTCATCTTCCTCACACATGTGGATCTGGATGACCGTGCGAATGGCCGCTTCCAGGTAGTCCCTCTCCGGCTCGGGCGTGTAGAAGATCTCCACGGGATGCGTCCGGCCGGGAATGGTCAGCAAGGGGCAGTTGTCGAAATAAACCTGGAACTTTCCAGCATCCAGAGTGGCACTCATTACAATGACCTGGGGAGAAATAAATAGACTGTGTTGGCTTTTGAACAGACACCATTTCACACAGCATTTGGTAAAAGCCGCTGTGCTTTGCCCACGTCGACAGCGAGCACGTCTCACTCTCTCTGGGGACATTATGATTGTAATGAAAGAAAAAAGCACAGAGCCATTCTGAGGTCCACCCGGCACCTTTCCACATCATGACGCGTTATAATTGCTCTTAAAGCATATTAAACTTTAAAGCTGCATGGGGACGCTGGGGCTGAGGGATCACTTGGAGTCACCTAGACCTTATTTAACAGTCTCTGAACACATGTATAACCTTTGATTTGTTCCTGACAACAAGTAGTCATTTCCCATCTGCTTTATGAGAATCGCTCCAGCGCATTTCAGCCATAAAACTCACTGCGCTTCTGCTCTCCTTGGGCTGATGGCTTTCAAATGGGCTGACCCAGCAGCAGCCGCTTTACCTCCACTAAAGCGACTTGCTGTGCATTTCTAACGTTTGTCTTCAAACAAACGAACACGCAGCTGTCAGGTGTGTGAGCGGCTTCATCGGTGAAAGTCCACACACTCGCAAAATTATTTGCATTTGTTAAGAGAACAATTTCTCCTGGCTCAGCATGATTTGGCTTCAAAACTGAACTACTCACTAGTTAGCATTTCTCTCTTTTTTGTTACATAAACAGTTGTTCATTCCAACAGCAAAGGGATGATTGCTAATATGTATACGTAAGTGTATTAATCAAATATATGTATATGCACACAATATTCACCACCTTCCAAAATATTCAGTTTTTGGAAAATTTCACCTATATTCATTATTTATAGGAAGTGTTCCTGTGGCTCAGTGGTAGAGCATTGCGTTAGCAGCGCAAAAGGTCGTGGGTTAAATTCCCAGGGAACACACATACTGGTAAAAAAAATGTATAGCCTGAATGCACTGTAATTCGCTTTGGATAAAAGCGTCTGCTAAATGCTTAAATTAAATTTATTCAGAACACCATCAAAATCCAAATCATTTCGTAGTTAATTCGCTTCCACAACTAGTGGTTAAAAAAAAAAAAGCTGTTTATGAAATTAAACCTGGACATCCGGGAACACATCTATGAGAGTTTCAGCAGGCTTTACGAAGGTAAATTTAAGAATTTTTCAAGACATTTTATAGACCAATTAAAAAGAAACATATCTAAATCTGAAATCAAGGTACATGTACTTGAGAAGCAAAATTACACAAGATGTCTTGTTTTCTGAGAAATTGATCAAAATTAAGTGTTTAAGATTAGCAAGACCAAATATCTGCCAATGAGCTCAGAAAAATCAACTTCATTCAAAGGGAAACAAGTTTTCAAACCCTATTGAGGGACACCTGTGCTCATTTTAAGCATAAATTCATTTAATTTATCAGTTTCTCAGAAAACAATCATAATTTTGACTCAAATAAATGTATCTTGATTTAAGGCTGTTTATATATTTATACTGGAAAGCTAGACCAAATCTGAGGGAGATATTCTTTTTTTTTTTTTTGCGCAGTGTACGCAACATTTGATGCAAAAACTTTAAGAGTTTCTGCTCCCACTTGAGATCTTTTTAAGACCTTAATTTGTGGGAGGGCAAATTAACCCTGCTATAAACAATTCTACCACTTTTAAAAGGCGAATGTTTTCAACTGATCAGATATACCTTACACTTTAGTTCCCTAAAATGCAAGCAATGCTAATGCTACACGATTTTTCAATTAGTTCAATTCAACTGAATTTAAGAATTGTGGGTTGACTTACAGTGTACTTACCAAAGAAAGTACGGACTAATGTAAGGTTACGACATGGGTTTAGGTTAGGTTTAGGTGTAAGTTAAAGATTAGTACCTAGTTATTTTTCAGTTACTGCAATTAATATAGTAAGTACATTGTACGTACATATAAAACATGACTGTACTATAAAGTGCCTAACCTTCTCTCTAAAGTTGTGATGAAACTGAAGTAACTGAAGACTGTAAAAAATCAAATAAATAAATGAATGTATTTGAAATGCATGGATGAATTGTTTGGAATAAGATCATTAAGATACATTTAGAAAATAAGGTGAATTTCCATTCCATGCAGACCTAAATATTCTTCCCCTCATGTCCTCCAGTTTATAAGAATAAAAAACAACCACAAGGTGGTGCAAGAATACGATCAGCATGACATACCTTAAGGTCGGATCTCTGCCGGACCACTTCTTTGAGGACGCCCATCAAAATATCTGTGGCTAAGGTGCGCTCGTGAGCCTCATCGAGAATAATGACACCGTATCGCTCCAGCAGCGGGTCGTTCATAGCCTCGCGGAGCAACATACCGTCTGTCATATATCTGTAAACACAAGACACGTTTATTCACTCATCTTTATCTCAGGTGTCGCCAAAAAAGACCAAATGTCATTTGTCCAAAAGTATCTACACTACGACTCCTCTTGAAAAACCACATACACATTGCTTATGTCTAAATCTTTGTTTTCTACCAGAACTATAGCTGTTTCCATCACCCTATTTTAATGTGCATTTTGAAGTATCGCATTAGAAACGAGTGATGGAAACACCAAATTTCAAATAAAAATCCCTTAATTCGCAAAAAAGTTTTTACGCTCGCTTGAGGTGGTTTTTGACTTGTGCGAAAAAGGGTTGATGCGAATAATCGGAGATGGAAATGCATTTTGCGAATAAAATTCCTACAAGCGCATCAAAAAAAGTAATGTGACTTCGCGCTATGGGACGGCAAAACCTGACTAACCAGCGGACCGATCTCATTCACAGCATCTGAAATGTTGTTATGGTCATTCAGAAATGCCCGAGCAAAGTCTGTCATCAAAGTATTTCTGTATAATAGCCTCGCAGAAATGTCTTACACGACTACGTTCCCAAACAGCAGCATCCACCTCCGAAAGCAATGACCGCATTCATGGGGTTTCGTCTGCGCGCTCTGAGGCGCAAGTAATTTAATATATATGAAAATTATTATAATTCTCCTACTTTTCTTAGTGATTTATAGTGCCAGTTTATCAGGAAGTGACAATTTTGTTCTCTTTGACTCGCAGATGTTTCATGCAATATTCCAGTTTTGCGCAGAAGTTAAATTCGCAACTTTGGATGGAAACCCGGCTTATAACTTACTTCAGTATGGTCTTTGCAGAGCTACAATCCTCAAATCTGATGGAGTATCCGACCTCCTGGCCCAGCATGATGTCCATTTCATCAGCCACTCTCTGAGCCACACTCATGGCTGCCACCCTACGTGGCTGTGTACAAGCCACGCCGCGCTTGGGGCCGGGAAGGGCCCTCACCATGTCCACACACCACTGAGGGATCTGAGAAAGATGACCAATTCATTAATGCGCTTTACTGTGTTTCTCTGGTCTATCCTTGAACAAATGAATAAGTACATTTGTTAACATGGTGCCAGTCACAAATTCGTCAGAATGCCTCTCGGGAAGGTTGTGAAAAAGGGCACACCAGCTTTGGTTGCCTGAGCCTGTTAGCAGGCAGCATAATTTAAAATACAAGAAAGGAGAGCAGGGAAATATTTGATATGCAAAGGATTAATATTCAGACATAATAATTCAGACAGTGATAAGCTAAAGACCAAAAAGAAGAAAAACCCATTTATCCACCCATTCAATATGACTATGAAACAATAATAATAATAATAATAATAATAGGAACAACAATAATAATGACGACAACAATTACCGTTATTATTCTCAATACTTTATTATTAAAATTAAATTTAAAAGAATTTCACTGTAAAAAAATTTATAAATAAAACTTTAAAATTAAATGGTTTTTATTTTACAGTACAATAGTAATAGATTTCTTTATTGATTTTAATAATTTAATAAAATACTTAAATAACTATTTTTATATTAATTTAATATATTATTTTATCATTGCTGTTGTTGTCATTTATTTTTCAAAAAATTGTTTTATTTGAAAATGTAATCAAAGAAATATTACTATCATGAGATTAAAAATAAAATGTATTAATAATAATAATAATGGAAAAAACAATAAAACGACATAATAGAAATAATAATAATATTTTAGAGAACAACAGTAAGATTACAAAACTAATCATTTTAATTTCTTTGTTTTAAAAACGTTCAAACTACAGAGCTTTGTTTTGGCGGAAAACTGCAGGGAGACTTTAAAGCTCCTATTATTGAGAACAGATTTACAAATGAATCATTACAAATTTGGGGAAGATGGTTGGTGCACGTGACATTTTTTAAAAGCATGCTATAAGTGACCCAAACTCACAGCGCTCACAGTCACGAAACTTAACTTGGAGAAAAATGATTGAATCAGAGACTCTTCCATTTGATAACTGCACAAAGCCATACCGCAACTCTCATGCTTTAACCAAAGGTACTTACTGTTTTGTTATAATGAAGAACAATCTGAAACACCCTAATTAATACCTTTAATAGCCTTTGCTGAAAGATCTCTGAATGCAAGGAGCTTTTGGCTACAGGGGCCAAAGCAAGGTCTTCTGTGAAAAGTTGTAAAGCATAAGGAAACCCTTGTTTGGACTAACCTGTGTGGTCTTTCCAGAGCCTGTCTCTCCAACGAGCACAAAGCTTTGATGCCGGTTGAGGATGTCATTGAAGCGTTCTTTGTACTCCCAGACGGGCAGCTGCAGCCTCTTCTTGCGGATCTCAAAGAAGCGCGGCGTGTGAGGCAGGTTGGTGAAGGGGTTGATCTGCTGTTGCATGGCCGTCTGCTTGAGCGTGAGCATCCCGCCGCCGGGCACGCCGGAGCTGAGGGGCGCACTGGACACCTTGCTGTCTCGATCCCGGTCTCGATCACGGTCTCTGTCACGATCACGGTCCCGATCCTTCGACCGGTCGTCCCGATCTCGGTCACGGTCCTTACTGATGGGAAGACATCATTAACAACACAAGGATTTAGTTTCCTGGCAAAAAGTTAATGTTCAAACTGAAAGCATTCATGAGAATTTGATATTCAAACTATGTGTTTATGCAAGCAATTGCGTGACTCTGTTAGCTAACTCTTACATAACATCTTATTAAAGGGGTCATCGGATGCAAAATTCACTTTTACATGTTGTTTGAACTGAAATGTGTGTTGGCAGTGTGTGTACACAACCACCCTTTTAAAGGTGCAATAGGAGATCTTGGAAAATGCTAACTTTAGCCTGATAGCACTGAAAGCGAACGTCCCACCCTCCCTGCAATCGCCGTCCAAAGCCACGCCCCCTGAACGCATTTACACTCACAGACCAGAGACAACATTACTACAATAGGCTACATCAGGTTCCCAATTCCAGCCCATGTTCTGAAGTGAAGTAATCTTCAACGGATTTCCCCTGCTCAGTGAGGAGGGAGCAATGAACACTGTGTAGGGATCATATCGATCGGAACACAGTTCATGCACGTAGCTCACTTCTAACGAGCTGGCGCGAGGACTAGATCAACCGCTGGGCTACATCGTGTGTCATTCACCGGTGAGAAATCTTTAAAAGTACTACAATACCAGGAAGAAAGATCGGGTTGTTGATGTTTGCCTGCCATCCTCGCTCTGTCTGCACAGTGTGTGTGAACGCGCTGATGACGTATCCCGTCTGCGCGAAAAGGGTGCGCATAGGTATGCTAATACATATGTTGACAGGCAGGTAGGAAAGCATATTAAAACGCTCGGACAGAGCGTTTTGATTGGACATACATTTCTTGATCCTACGCCTTCCACAGAATATATAAATACAGACAAATACATTTAGACCACTTAACTTAATTGCTATCGGGATGTGAAGAGACTTTCAAACAGCATAACAAAAAATGTTTCTGAAGACAATCACCTATTGCACCTTTAATGATAAGAATCCACCCAGTGATTTTTTTTTTTATGTATCTCGATAAATCCAAACCCTTTCTCATGACAGTGACAGCAGTCTTTGGTTTTATCACAGACCCGCCCTGAGTGAGCTGTCATCAGTCCGCCATTATTTCACCGCCGGAGCAGATGTATCATGATTCATTTTTTTTATGAATCTTTGCAAATCCCCTTTCCTAATAATGGGCTAATTAGCAAGATTCACGATGAATGCAGGCGGCTAAAGTTTACAGCCTCGGAGAAGCTTGTCACCCCACGCAAGAGGGGGCGGGGTCAGCAGAGCTCATTAGCATTTAAAGGGACATGCACCGAAATGGCTCACTGTGAAAAGAGCTGTTTTTGACAGGGTAAAAAGAGTGTTGTTTTACACTACCACTGAGAAATTTTAACCGAAGTATGTTACAGACTTTTCATTAAGACACTAAAGAATCATATCAACTTGTGGAAAATGGGCATCCGATGCCCCCTTTAATAATTAAACTTCAGAGTGTTTCAGAGCGTACACACCTCACGCACCGGATGCCGTGCGCGCGCCCAAGGAAGTTGGACATAGTGGTGATTTAGAAGTAAAAAATGATATAAATACTGTTCAGTTTCTCACACAAACCGATCGTTTCGTGTCTTAGGACATCAATGTGTCGTCACGAGCCGCAGGGTTTAATTTGGATTTGTCTGTGCATGTTTTTTTTACTCTCATAGATTTTGTTACCATTGCCATGCATTATACGACTGACAGACTGCAACGGCTGGAGTTAAAAATCATCAAATGTGTTCTACTGAAGAAACAAAGTCACCTACATCTTGGATGCCCTGCAGGGGTAAGCAGATAAACATCACATTTTCATTTCTGGGTGAACTATCCCTTTAACTCTTATCATCCATCCATCAGTTAAACAAGTTGACGACCGAACCGATTCACTCAGGTTAACGAATCGTTTAGAACACTACCGAGAACCGATTCAACCGAATCGTTTTAAAGATCCGGCATAACAGAACGACTCATTTAGAATTCAGAACTACTACACATATAACTACATTAAACCCAAACTGAGCAATTAATAAAAAACAAATATATTAAAAAAATAATACAATGTCACTGAAAACCAAAGATAAACAAAGCAGGCCGCGCTTTAGCAGGCAAAAACCAGCCTCATTAACATAAGATCGCAGGAATTACACGCTCACATCCCCAAACACTTTACTCTTTTATAGTTAGTTTTTTTGAGGACTGTTTCAGAGCCTAGTTGTGCCACAATCCAACACATATTTACTCTCAACATCATCCGCTGCTCATTCAGCGGCCTGACTATGCTTCATGTCTGCTTCTTTACACACACACACACACACACACACACACACACACACACACACACACACACACACACACGAGAAATGTAAATAGTGTCAGTTGTACGTCAAACAGCCGCAGCAGCAGCGCACGTGCTAGCGGCATCAGTCACAAAGACTCACACGCTTCTGTACAAACAACGACCAACAATAACCTCTTCGGAAAGCAAGCGTGCGTTTGATATACAATATGTGTTAGCAACGATGTCACTATCTGTGCAGCATTAAACCCACACCAGCACAGAGTGTGAACATGCTAGCACAACCTAGCCGCTCACTGCTAAAACATTCCTCCAGCTCAACGTACCTGTCAGAAGACCTCTTCTTGCTCGACGAATAATCATCGCCTAAATCCAACCGATGCCGTTTTGACATCTCGTAATAGAAATATTAATAAGAGAAAAGAGTTTGATCGGTTTCTCCAGCGCAGCCGCTGCTCTCTCTCTCACGGCTAAAAGACAAGATGGCGACCGGAAGTACTTACCTCATCACTATTATTTCAAGAGCAACACTAGAGCAGACACCTCTGATTATGCATATTATTCATTGCAGTATATTTTGGCTTTGGATGCAAGAGATGCATACTAAATAATGCACGTTGTGGGTTGTCTGCATACAGTATCGGAGGATATTATATCTAGCGCCAAATAAAGCCGACCGCTCAGTAGTTCCGGTATTCGCCGCAAGGGGCGCTGCAGAGTTTGTGTCCTTGGATTTTCTTTGCAAGCCATTTTTTTTTTATTTAATTTTTTTATTATAATATATGAAACACAGAATGACATTAATATACTACATGCCAGGGAGCAAGAAAATAATGTACCTTTTAAAAAGATTCACAGTTTTTACAGCTTTCTTATTGAAAGAGTCAAATACATATACAGTTTTAACTCTTCCAGATCTTTGCAAGCCATAACTGCTGGATTTTTTTATTTTAAGTAATTAACTGTAGTTAAAAGGAACAGCCAGTTGTTTTATTTTCATAAAAAGTGCATTTAAAATATATTTACCTTAAATGTGATACTGAATAACACACTAGACTAGAGTTAAAATTGTAATCAATATATATTTGCATGTGCTTTAGTATGTTAGTAAGCACATCAAAATCTTTAAAGCGTGACAAAAAAATTAATATTTCAAATGTATATTTCTTTTAATCTTATTTTATATATTTGTAAAGGAAAAAAACATGAAAGTGTCTCTTTTTAAGTACACTTAAGTGGCCAGTTTAAAAATACTTTTAAGAATTCTAGTAAATTCACGTTTATTTGTATAGCGCTTTTCATGATACTAATCGTTGCAAAGCAACTTCACAGAAAATTTAACTTTCTACATTATATTTAGCAGTAGCTTATTAGCGGTGACTGTCAAGGTGATGTCTATATGGCAGAAATATGCAGTACAAATCATGCAGTTAGTTAATGACATGTATTGAAACACAGATGGTGAACACTATAGCAGCAATTATTATATGATGCAATTAAACTTACAGCAAAATGTGGTAGTTCTGTGTGTTGTTTCAGGGTTGGCATCATCTGAGGTCCTCTGAGGGGTTTGCATCATCTTGTCTCAGGTGTTCTGGATCCAGAATGAAGCTTACCACGGGATGCCAATCCCAGCAGAAACAGAGAAACAAATAGAGACATAATTAGTGTAGCTGCTGTTCCAACCAAGCAAACTTATGTGTTCAACCCAAGCATTATGAGATATATATAAGGTTATGAGATACATTATGTGAATGCTTTGTTAAAGAGATGTGTCTTTAATCTAGATTTAAACAGAGAGAGTGTGTCTGAACCCTGAACGTTATCAGGAAGGCTGTCCCAGAGTTAACAGCAGTTAACAGTTAGAGGAGCCAAATGTGAAAAAGCTCTAACTCTAGCTTTAGTGGACTTCGCTATCCTAGGTACGACCAAAAGTCCAGAGTTTTGCGACCTTAGGGAGCGTGATGGATTGTAGCGTGGTAGAAGACTAGGAGCTAACCCATTTAGGGCCTCTTAAGTATAGTAATATTTTGTAACTGATATGGAACTTAATAGTTAGTCAGTGTAGAGACTAAAATTGGGGTAATAAGATAATATTTTCTTGACCTGGTAAGGACTCTAGCCGCTGCATTTTGGACGACCTGTAGCTTGTTTATTGAAGATGCAGGAAAACCAGCTAGCAGTGCATTATAATAGTCCAGTCTAGAGGTCATGAATGCATGAACTAGCTTTTCTGCATCAGAAACAGGTAGCATGTTCCGTAACTTGGCAATGTTTCTAAGATCATTTCATTTCTTTATTGTCCTCAATAGAGGAAATTTGTTTCTAAGATGGAAGAATGTTGTTTTTGTAACATGGCAAATCTGATTTTCAGAAACCTGAAGTTGCTGTCTAATATAACACACACATTTTTTGACTGTAGAGGAAGTAACAGTAAATCTGTCTAGATGCAAATTGTAATCTAAGAGATTCCATGTACCGGTTTTTTTATTTTTGTTTATTTATTTATTTATTTTTGTCCAATAAGCAATATCTCTGTCTTATCCGAATTTAGTAGAAAATTATTGGTCATCCAATCTTTTACATTTTTAACAGACTTTGTTAGCTTAGATACTTTAGAAGTTTCATCTGGTCTTGTTGAAATATACAGTATAGTTGAGTATCATCGGCATAACAGTGGAAACTAATCCCATATTTTCAAATAATATTACCAATGTGCAACATTGTATATTGAAAATAGCAGAGGGCCTAAGACAGATCCTTGCGGCACTCCATACTTTACTGGCATTAATTGAGATTAATGTTTAAATAAACAAAGTGATAATGATCTGGCAAGTAGGATCTAATCCATCTTAAAGCCCGCTCTTGAATACCTGTATAGTTTTGTAATCGATCTATGAGTATGTCATGATCTATAGTGTCAAACGCAGCACCAAGATCAAGTAAAACTAGCAATGAGATGCAGCCTTGGTCTGACGCAAGAAGCAAGTCATTTGTAATTTTAACAAGTGCAGTTTCTGTGCTATGATGGGGCCTGAAACCTGACGGAAATTATTCATAGATATAATTTTTTTTGCAGGAAGGAGCATATTTAGTCATAAAACGGGAGATTTGAAATGGGTCTGTAATTGCCAGTTCACTAGGATCTAGTTGTGGTTTCTTAATAAGAGGCTTAATAACTGCCAGCTTGAAGGGTTTTGGGATGTGACCTAGAGATAATGATGAGTTAATAATATTGAGAACAGTTCTTCTGCTACAGGTAACAACTCTTTCAGTAATTTATTGGGTACTGGATCTAATAAACACATTGTTGGTTTGGATGAAGTGATAAGTTTATTTAGCTCTTCCCGTCCTAAATTACAAGTGCACATTCAATACAATTATGTGCATGCAGGAGTATACAGGTTTTATCTACATTTATGCTTTCCAGAAAAACGTTTTTCCAGTTTACAACAATATGCTGTCATGGGTTGAGGGCTGCAATGAAGCACACAACAAGGAGATCCTCATAAGTCTTTTTAATAAAACTCAAAACATAAAGCAGGAGAAAATACAACCACTCCAACTCAGATCAAACGGAAACAGAATCAATGCAAGACAAAAGTGAAAGGAAAACTGAGGGCTTAAATACAAAGTAGAACAAAGGAAGAACCAAACACGACACACCTGAACTGAGGACTCAAATTAATCAGTAACCTTGGAAACAAACAAGCAGGGAACCGAGGAGAACTAAACTAATAGAAAGCTGACAGACATGAACAGAACAGGCAAACAGATCTGAAAACAAACAGAAAATGTGACATGCAGGTGAGTAAATAATTGAATGTTTATTTCTGGATTAACTATCATTTTCACTAAAAGATGTCTCAGACATAAATGATCTACTACGTATTATCACAAATCTGATGTTATTGCCTGCAGCAAATATCCAATTTTTACTATGCATATTATTTATGTGAAGATTTTCAGAAATCACAATACAGTATTATTCCCACATTATGTGTTTAGTCAACAGTTCATTTATTTCTACCCCATATATAATTGGGAAATCATCAAAACCTGTACTGGCATCCCTTGAGAGTATCCTGAATGAAGTCTCAGAATATACTGAGCTCTTGTACATCTCAGACAGACTATGATAATATACTGCAATGAATCAGTTAGTGCAGAAGACAATCATTGCCGTCGACACAGGTAATTACACAGCCTAGGCATGGCTAACAAGCTACATAATAGCAACTGGATCATTGCTCGCGGCTGGGAATTGATGGTGATGGGAAAAACAAAGTTAACGTTAACAAGACTTTGCACTGCTCTCTGTATAAATCTGAAATACAGGCCTTTTTTATTTCTGCTTTCACAGACAATTAAATAACAGGCCAGTTGCTTGTGAAATAGGCTTGTCAGGTTTAGGACAGAGTCTGCAGAAATGGTTTCTTGAAACAGAACAACTGTGAGATATTCACTTATGACAGTCCCTTATGAAGTGTGGTTAGGCATGAGCTCAAAGTGGAGTTGCATTTACAGAGCATGTTGTAAAATCAGTTTTTTGTAAGATAACTAACAATTGAAGCACAACTAACAACAAATGTAACTCTTATGTAACAAATGCTGTGCTGGAAATCCTTGACCTAATTTGGTGTTCCTGGTCAAAAATGACCAGCCTTTTAATAATTGCTTGTAAATCTCTCATTATGCTATAATATTTCCAAATCCTGCATTCAATCTTTTTGTCAACTTCTTTCAATTTGCACAGGTTTTGTATTTCTCTTTGGACTCAACTAGTCGTAGGCATCATTGATCTGAGCTTATGTTTTTGAGTAAAAAAACAATCAAACATTTGTGTTTTTGGGGGTTTTTTTATTTAAAAAAAAAAAACGGATTAACGAGGCCTACGAGCAATCATTTCCAAAACAAATACAAAACCTGCACCTGTTAAAAAAAAGGAAAATGTACTGGTAATTTTCTTCCTGGACATTAATTTTACGGACATTTCTGTTAACGATAAAACACAATGCAATGAAATGGAAAATTTAACACAAAATTTTAACACACAAAATTTAACAATAAAAACACCTCCAAAATAATAAATACAGACAGTTCCTTCGCATTAATACAGTAAATTGTGCCCTTTTTTTAACAGATTTCTTTTACAGTGTGTGCAATTGAAAGAAAACAAGCTGATAAATAGATTGAATACAATATATTGTAATAACAAGAAAGTATTTTTGGAGGCCAGTCATTTTTGACTCCAAACACCACAAGTGTAACAAGGTAGAGGGAAAATATCCCAGAAAAGTACAAAAATTCTAAAGAAAAAAATGATGTTAATATTCACTGTGTGAGCAAAATCAGTAAGTTTTAGTCCAATGTGATAATATTAACTAGCGTTTTTGGCAAAAACAAAATCCTCTCTGGGTCAAAACGACTGGAACACAACATGAGGGTTAATGTGCCTCATTTGCATTAAAACTTTGAGACTGTCTG